GGCCATTGCTATTAGGTTGGAGGCCATCTCTATTAGGTGGAGGCCATCGCTATTAGGTTGGAGGCCATCTCTATTAGGTTGGATGCCATCGCTATTAGGTTGGAGGCCATCTCTATTAGGTTGGATGCCATCGCTCTTGGACTTGCCTTTTGGTCGTAGGTACGGATTATAGGGACTTGCACATCGTGGGAATCCGGATGCCTTTTCCGAGGCTACTCCGGGAAGGATTTATGGAAGCTCAAGCAAGAGCGCCCAGAGCTCTTTGGCGTTGCCTCAGCTGCAACCTGTCAGCATACTTGGAAACAGATTCACTGATTGCTACAAGGTTGTGACGGAGAACCTGTATTGCTTTTGCTGAAATGTTCAATTTGAGATTGAAGGCATTCTGCTTTTAGCAATAGTCAGATGACTTCAAAATAGACAGATGCAGCCGATCCAGGGAACCTCTTGTGAAGATCCAGAAGCTTAATGAATGATCTACTACTGGTCCATAAAGCCCAGCGATGGTGACCAACGTTGAGCTGTAGTGTGTTTGAAAAAGTGTTTTGATATGTGATACAATCTTAGTTTGAAGGGGCCTGTAGAACACTTCAGCAGCCTGCGGTTACAATGTGTTTTTTCTCGCCAGGCACAAAATGGGAAGCCTGCCCCTCCTGGGTTTGAGCAGCTGCGAGAGATGCCAGGGTGGGACAGAGCACGCAGCAACTATGGTACTTAACATATCTTAGGATCAATCTACCGTTTACATGTCTACAGTCGTTTGCAGCATTCCTTGACTACAAACCCTTTTGGTTGGTGAGAGTGTTCGTTGATGTCCTACTCTTGATTTCCAAATCTCCAAAGCTAGCAGGTAGTATCACTGTAATTTGCATGCTCACTTCTGTAGCTGGCAGGTGGATGTACCACAGGGAAAAAGCTCTATATTTCCAGCGAGTCAAGGACCTAGAACTGTTGTGAACGAGGAGTTTGAGCACAGCTTGAGACCTGGTTCCTGTGGACAAACGTTGGAGAAAAGGCAAAACAAGCCGGCTCAGGAAAGTGGGCTACTTTACTGCAGAGATTCTGCAACTAATGAGCTGTATGAATTGCATCAAGGATTTCGGGGGTCAAGAAATTTGAAGGGAGCATGCTGCATTGAATTACTGGAGGCTGCAAAAGCATCTCTACGGAGCTTTGCGTCATTCTTCGACAAACCTTTAGGCATTAGATTCAGATGACTGATGACAGAGTTTTCAACTGATGTCATCATTTCAGAAAGCAAAAGGAGAAGACTACAGCGGAACTTTGACGGTTCGTGGTGACGCTGCTACAGTTGCTGTAAAGGGGCAGGCCAGGAAAGCTGACACGTGCAGAAAAGACATGAAAAGACCATGGGCAGGCCATGCCATCGGGTCATCAGCCTTGTTTATGCATGTCGCTGTTACTCATTACAGTACCTGATGTGAAATGGAGGGTGCATACATGATTTGCCCTGGACTTTACATTCTGCATTGAATCTGTCCAGGCCAGTCGCAATGTAATCATCAATGATTTGCATCGTGCCGCATCTTCCATGATTCCTGGCCTTCATAGAAATCCATCCTAATCCTTGCGGCAATTTTCTGTAAGGGAATCAACTCCCTGCACCAGAAGTCAGTGCCAAGGAAGCTGGACTTCTCACACCACGACAGCCCAGCAGCCATGTTTGCTGTTTACGATGCGACTGGATGTAGCAACGATCAAGCAGAGGCCGCAGCCAAAGGAGTTGGTTCGATCGGTTCTACTTACAGTCCCTGCGATACGTAGTGTTATATAGTGTTGTCCTTGCGCAACATGAATACCTAATACTCGTGGAAAGAGAAGTGGAACAGTGAATGCTGATCTCAACATGAGGACTTCACATGCAACTCTTGCCGCGCCTTGCTGCATATCGTGGCCGGTGGCAGAATGACCGTTTGCAAGGGGCTCTTTCCGATGCTATTGAACAGTTGAGGACGCCTGAGTTTCTTCATTCACTAAGCTAGGCAGGACTTTGGAGGGAGCAAAATGACTAAAGAAACCGTGCGCAAGTTTTGTCGCTGCTCAGAGTCAAACTGTTGCCAGGAATGAGATTGCACCAGAGACAGGCATTGCACTTGCTGTGGCACTTTTGCTTGGTGGACGGCTGACTATGGCTGCCACAGGTGGTGCTGTTTGCATGATCTTTGGACAGGTGGGCCAATCAGATGGAAATGTGGACAACTTGGAGGTTGTTGGATTGCAGACTGAACCAACAACCCACTGTGCCGTCCTAGAGGACAGTCACTTGGGTGCATTGCTCACCGTTAATGGCATAAGAAGCTCGGGACTATCTGCAGCAAGGATGCGTGCTTTGGCCAGGTCCCACACAATGGGTGACAGACCCCGTGCTGGATGTGTATCACTTTTAGAAGAAGCTCAAAAATCTGGAGCTCAACCTCCTTTGGTAGCAGCGGCAGTTCGATTTTCTTGGTCTCGGGGGGACCAAGTGAAGAAGCAGCGTACCGATCCTTCAAGTCTCACAAAGGTTCGATGTCGTCACATTCTGCTTCGCCATGTGGGTTGCCAAGCACCGCTTGGCGACAGGAGAAAGAAACCAACACGAAGTTTAGGTGAAGCAGAGTTGCAAATGCTTCGCATTCTGCCCGAGATCGCGCATGGTGGAGCTGCTGCCTTCACCAAGAAGTGCAAGGAGCTCTCAGAGTGTGACACCGCAATGAAGAGTGGCGATTTGCCTCTTGCCTTTCACCGCAACAATTTGTAGTTGTCATTTTATGGACTGTACGGCTAAACCCATTGCTACTAGTAACAAGGGCATCGCTATTAGGAGCAAGGACGCTACTAGTAGCTCCTGGCATTACTGCTAGGAGCAAGAAGCTACTGGTAACAAAGGGCACTATCACTATCTTTAAACATTTGTTTCTTTTGAACTGTTTTCGAGCACGGAGTTCATCCAGGGCTGGCGACCTTGGGTGGTTGGACAAGGATCCTGCCCGCAGTCGCAAAGTGCCGGCAGCTGTGGTTCGTGCAGCGTTCTTGCTGGCGGTTGGGCAGGTCAGCGATCTCGTTTCATCTGAGCGTGGAATCCATCTGATCTTGAGAACGGCCTGAATGACAGTTGAATGCGGTTTCAAAACATGCCAACCTTTGCCAGTTGCACTGCTGTCAAGCGGGCGGGAAAGGAGTTTCGGCATGAGAGCTTCAGAGAATTTGCTGCAGATTTGAGGCATGGCCTGCCTGAGGTAGCACGTGGGGTTGGAAGCTAAGAGATTCAAACCGATCCGTTGCCTTCGACTCAGAATGTCTTTTCCTTTTCATGTTTGACGCAGGCGGTCGTTGTGTCTTCAGCGTTTTCCGTGCTCGTGTCGACTGCAGGCGTCGCAGCATCCCCGATTCAATGTCATGCAATCGTGTAGGTTGTCAACCTAAAAGCTAGAGATTCTTAAAGTCTTTTCTTGTCTAGAGGCTAACGAAGGCCTCCGAGTCTTGAGAGAAGTTAAGAATTCTAGGATTGAAATTTAGGAGCAAAGGAAGGAAGGGGAACGGATTGAATCACATTGTGTGCATTTTATAACATTGGGACAGAGAAATTTGATCTGACTGCAGGCTTAGCTTTGCTTCGAGGCCACACTCCTTAACAAAGCTCACCTGTGGAAACTATGCGAAAATATGTTTGCTTCTCGTATGATTTGACAAGGCACAAGGCCAAGTGAAGTGGAGCGATTGCAGAGGTATGCCGTGTCGCACTTGGGCCAGTACCTGTGTGATAAAATCAAATAACAAGTTAGGAATCTCAACATCAGCTTTTTGTGCTTTCCTGAGTCGCAAAGATTCGCTCAAAGGATGCAGGCTCTCCAATCCAACAATGGATTCTTTGGCATGTCCTTGGAGTCATCCTGGCACGATTGTAGGTACAAGTGCAATTTACATGTAATTACCTCAGCGTTTGCCTGCTTTGATGCCCATTCTTTTCGAAGAAGCGAGCATTCATGGAGCTCATGGACATCATCGAGCATTGCTGCCGATGTGCCAGGTTTTCGGTGCATTGCTGCTGTACATAGGCATGGCAGCACAGTCAGTGTGGGCTTGTCAGGCTTTCCCAATCAGCAAAGTAGAGTCTAGACTCGCGTTAAGACTTTTCAGGGGAATGGGAGCCCAGGTCTAGTTCTGAGCTCCATACCAATGCTCATGGGTGTGTCAGCTGATGACGAGGGCAAGGTGCACCTTTTCGCTGACAGTTTAGTTGTCTTGGCATCAAAGTAACGAAACCCTGTCATACAGCAGCACAAATGGATACCAATGGATACACATGGTGCTAAAGAAACAAGTGAAACTGACAGATTAGCTTTTTGTTCAAACTAAAGTTGTTCAGTGATGAAGTACAGTCACGTGGGCTGAGGGCTTCTTGACATGTTTTGCCACAACACGCTTGGCTCCATTTGTCGCATACTCCGCCCTGCAGACTGCGGCCATTGTGCAGCAAACGTTGGTGCTTGTTTGTTGGTTGACTGAGCGCTACTTGGTGGAAGGCCGGGCAGCCGCAGACATACGCAGAGACTTTGGACACAGAGAGAGAGAGAGAGACAGACAGACAGAAAGAAAGAGGCGCGCACAGAAGATCACACAAGTCTGAAAGGCCGGCCATTGCCACTCATGCAGAGCTGCCTGTGTGCTTTGACACTCGCTTCAACTTGTTGACCCAGCATAGATGTCTTCAGAGTTCAGCAGCAACCCTGCCCACTTCCAAGGATTTGGTTTGGATCTACAGTCTCTAGTCTCCATGTTGGATGTGCATTTTCTTTCCGTGCAGGTGCACACTTTCAAACAAGAATCACCACTCAGATCATTGCACTGAACGAGAGTCCAGTGTTAAAGATGCTAAGGGCAGTCCGTGTTTATTTGAATACGGGTGGATCATGCTAAGCCGGGTGATCACAGTCCTAGTGGTTGCCTTGCGATTTGGTCAAGGTTGTTGAGTGGGCTGGGTCAGCTCCCTGATCGTCTCACTTTATTTATGCTTCTATGATAGCTTGCAATATGTTTGCAATGCTGCATGAAGACAGTTGCCAGAAGCACTTTGTTGCATAAGGCCCAGACCTTATGACAACATGAGCCTTGGGTTACCAGGTCAGATTGCAGGCGTCCATGTCTAGATGTCAATCGATTTGAAACTTCCACACTTTGCTTTGAGCTGAATTTGTAAAGCGATTGAAACGGTTGGAAACGTTTGGAACTGTCCAGCTGCCGCCCGTTTTTTCAGGCTGTGACGGTGGCTACAGATCACCCTTTCTGATTTACGCCTCGGTATGGCTCACAGGGTCGGGTGTGAAAAGCACAAGTCGGGTGCGATTGCTTTCCGCCGTTCGACACAATGTAGGGTGCTCCGATTCTATTTTGTGGTAGGCTGACCTTCGGCACCTTGTTGCTCTTTTGCGAGGAAGGTGCGCTATATATAAGGTTGGTATTTCAGTCCACTGCCGGCATGCCAAAGACTCCAGATCAATCCGGCTCATATTGCAAACTATATCCAAATCATTATGTGGGAAGGTACTACCTTAGTCAGCTGCGTTGATCCTAGCGATGATGAGGCGCTGCTACCGTCATGGCAGCATGTTATAGCATGTTCGTTTTTTAAGTTTCACCCAATCTCTTAGAACCGCCCACTGCAAGGCTGCAGCAGCACCGGACCCTGCACAGGAGAATGTTGAGTTTTGCTTGCAGAGAATATGTATCTTGATAATGCCTATTACACTCTCCAACTCGCGAAAGCATCTCGGGACCCACAATGGCTGGATGAGGAGAAAACGCGAAGGCTCCAGCCATTTAGAAGAAAGGCCACAGAATGGACTTGTATGGACATTCAACATGACATACACACACACAAAGCAGGTTCAAAACGTTTGTAGCCCGAATGGTATGTCCCTGTCCCTAGGAGGCCCAAATTGACAGAGAAGCATAAGGTACTCATTGCATCTCATTGTATTGCAGGTGCTCCCAATAGTTTATGCGATGGCAACATCAATGTCGGGCATTGTCTTGCTGGCACGGTGCACATTTCCCCGACTCTCTTGAATAGATGCCTCAAGTGTCCTGAACAAGTTGTAAAGAACGATTGATGATTGCCCTTCATTGTTGTCAAGATGACATACCAGGTGTTTGCTACTGGAACTGCTGGCAATGACATGGCCAGGGCCTCAAGCTGGTCGCTCTTGTGAGCAATATTCAGGCAACTTTGAAGACCACATGTCCTTTCGCATCAATATAGAGCCTGCCACTCCACGCCTCTCTTTTACTGCTTTGCTCATTTTTTAAAGCCCGGGGCGGGGTAGGTCGTGAAGAGGCTAGCGGCTAGCTCAACTGGTAGCAAAAAAGTAAGCTAACAAGTATATAGCTACTAGTTGGGATGTAGAAGAGCTCAAGCTTCCTTTAAGAACCCTTCGCATGATTCTATGTTCCTAGTTATTTAAGAAACTTCAGTTTCATGCATCCTCCGACCTAATAGCGATGGCCTCCAACCTACATGCATGGCCTCTCGTCTACTTGTTCGGGCAACCCTGTATTAACTACATACCCCTTGACCCTTGGCCAGCTAACCCTTTCCCCGCATCGGTTTCGCCAGCGCTACATCACGGCGGGCGCCGTGCTACTGGTCATTGCTGTGCTTTGTGCCTGGGCGACTTGGCAGCTAATGGCTAGCGGCTAACCTCTTGACTTGTAGAACCGTGTTGAATTCAGGCAGTGAAGACTTGATTGTTGTAATATTAGTTATTATATAGTTTTCACCTAATGATTACCAATGCAAGAATGCGTTTGTTCTTTGCATGTTCTTAGTTTCTTGGTATGCAAATAAGGACTTTCTGTGGCGCTTGGAGCTTCCTCTTAGCACCTGGGGCGCTGTCTTTCAGGGATTTACCACTTCTTTGCTGCCTCCCCAGTGCGATTCCAACAATGACCAACCAATCCTTTTGATGAGACTCTGGGTTGCAAACCAACTCTACCTTCTAGGCGAGTGGTCCAGAGCCACTTTGTTTTCCGCGATTTCAGGCCGCGGTCTCTGAATATGGACCAAGCTCACACTCATGGATATGCGTACGGACTTGATAGCGGTGCCACACGCCGGCCTAGGGTTCCATTTCCTAAGAGTACAGGTAGGGAAATCTAAAGAAGAAGAGGAGGTCCATCCAGCGGAGGTCCCAAAGGTAATCAACGAGCGAGCGGACGACAGGGTGACGACGGTTCGAGGAGGTCAGTGAAGCTCCCAAGGTCCAAGCACTCAAGGAAAATCAACGCTGCAGTAGCCCTTTACTGAAGGAAACAACGAAGTAGACAGCTTGTGCTCTACGTAGGTTCCTCTTCAAGCAGGTACGTCAATCCGGCGTCCCGGATTGATTTCACAGACCAGTGCAATCGTCTTTGTTAGTGCCAGACTTGCACGGTCCCTGGCACCCCCTGCTGTAAGACAAAAGCAAATGCAAAAGCATCCCTATGACTCCAAGGGTGACACACACACGCCTCCCCGAGGGGAGGCGAGAAGCTAAGGTGAGGGCCGATGTGCACGTGTGCGCGCCCAAGAGACAGGAAAATGAAGACATGACAAGAGGACGAGACGGGACAAAGGTGCGTGTGGTTGAAATGAAAGGGGAACCAAGTGCACAGGGACAACCGATGAAGCCCACCTCATTGTAAAGACCTGAGCCTGAAACCTGTGTTTAAATGTGTGTAGAAGTGCACGTACACACTAAGGCCGGGACCAATGTGCGCGCAAACGAAGAAAAGGATGAGATGACCAGACATGAAGACAGGAGGACATGAAAGAAAAGAGGAAACAAGAGTGTGTGAAGGGAAGGGATGAAAGGGGGAACCAAATGGAGGGGACGAGAACCGATGAAGCCGAGCCTCATTAAAACGACCTAGGAAAACCTGCCTCGTTTGAATGTATACGCTGTATGTGCACCCAAGGTCTCGACAGGTTCCAATGAACCTAAAACTGGCTTTGACCGCTCTGGTCACCTTGTGCCTTGCCGAAATGGCTGGCTGCTTTGACCGCTGCGGTCACGCAAAGGCATGAGCCAACTTGGAATTCCAAAGATGGGACAAAAATCATCGGACGTACGGCCTAGGCCACCTGCTGT